TTTGGAAATGGAAATTAACAACCAAGAGAGCACGAGATTGTTAGCACAGGTCCAGGCTAAGAACTCATGGCTACTATCAGTAGAGAGAGGGATAGAGACAGTACCATCGAGAAAACCAAGTTTATTTTTTACGCTTAAGGGCATTGTGTAATGCTCCGTTTATTTGTGGATTAATTGGGATTATTTATTATTATTAATATTATTTATTGTTATTTTTATTATTATCATTATTATTATTATTATTATTATTATTATTATTATTATTTAATGAATGCCTAATTATCAATTAAATGTCTAAATGTTTATTATTATTATTAAAAAATTAATGTGTGTATTAATCATATAATATCTGGGTTTTATTTTTAATTGTCAAGCGATTGAGCCGAGCCATTTTTATTGGCTAAGTCGAGCCCGAGAGCCATCTGAACTCTTTAAACTCGAGAACCCGCTCCCGGCCAGGGAGAACCGCACGCCCACTTGAACCGAACCCGACCCGGTTCGCCTTCCACCCCTTTTGTGCGTGTGTGTGTGTATCTTGTGAGACAAAAATATTAACCCTAGCATAATATATTTCTCTCATCTCTCTCTCGTTAAACTCACGCCCGCAGACACAAGAGAAAAATATGCTCACATCTCTCGTCTCTTTCTCTCGCTCAAAAAAGAGAAAATCTCATCGACCCTCTCCCTCCCCCTCGTTTCAAATCCGGCCACCACCTTAAGCTCTCCCTCTTCCTTTCATTTTTCCGATCACGCGCAGACGATTCCCCAACAGCGACGTCGCGGCTCGTCATCATCACCGACGAGCTCTCCCCACCGCGAAACGCCACCGCGAGCAGGCCCCGTTTCCGCGAACAACTGCAGTCTGCTGCACCTCCGACGCCGCGACCTACAACTCCGGCGAGTTCATCCTCCGCGAGACGAAGCGCAGCCGTCAAGCCGTTGCCGCTGCCGTGTGCCACCGCGAGCCTCCTCTGACGTGCCGTCGTCCCTCGTTCGACCCTTTCGTACATATCGTTTCCCGAGAATGGTACAAAGGCTCGAACCCCGTGTCGTTTAATTTTGTGTATCGTATTGTATTGTTATGCCTATTTGTTATGTCATGTTATGAATTTATACATATCATGTATTAGTGTTGAGATCTCTTGTCGGTTCGTGTGAAACCGAACGAGACCTCGTTATAAATGTGTTAAGTGTTGTGGAATTGGAACATAATGAGTCCTTGGCCTTATGGTGAAGGCCTCAGACAATTTCAATGTTTGTCGAGTCGTATATGAATTTATGAATTCGTATGGTTGCTAATTTGGTATTAAATTCATAATAAATTGTATGTTTCTCCAATTAATGTGAATTTTTGTGTTAGATATTCTCTGTTGTTCATGTAATCCGCGTAAAAATTTCAGATTTAAATACCAACTGTAGCTATTTTAATTAATTGTTTTGATTTCTGGGCAGAATAGTGTAAATTGCATATAAAATCTATATGTGCTCCAAAATGGCTGAATTTTTAATATGTTGTCTCTCTGTCTCATTCTGATGTTGTGTAAAAATATCATGATTTTTGGACTTTGTTTTCTAGGATAAATAATTTATTGTAGTATTCTGCTGAAACTTGTTTTCATTATGATAGTTTGATCTGTTGCTGTAAATTACTGAATTTCGGTTGAAGTGCTTATTTAATGATATTATGTGAGTAAAAAAAATGCCCAGGATTTTTGGAGTTCATATTGGTTCAGTTTTGCTGAAATGTTGATATCTGCTGAATTTTGTTACAATTTTCATAATTCGCATGTTTAATGTTTAAAAATGAACTTTTTACATGTTGTTATTCACATGCTGAAGGTTCTTGTGTAAAAATTTCAAAGGTTAAATCGTTCGTTATGTCAGTCTTTGAATTTGTGCTCCTTTTTGCTGAAAACTTGTTCGAATTTTATAAAACCATGTGTTTTCAGTTAAGGGCTGAAATTTGGTGGTTTTACTAAGTCCAGTGAGTTGGATTTTATGTAAAAATTTTAAAGCCTAACTCATTCGGAAACCTGACCAACCTGATTATATGATTTATCGACTAGTATTTCAAAATTATAGTTTTTGTGTTAAAATATGAGAATCCGGCTCGCATGTTATTTCTTGAGACTTGTTTGGATTACCCTTTATGTGAATTTATGTGAACTCCCATGTTTGGTTGGTCGAGTCTAAGTCCAAGAGTTCCAATGTCCACAGGACTTCCCGAACAACTTAGTCAAATCAAGTTCGACTAAGTATGATTTGTGTTTTCTGTTCAAAGTCACGATAAATGTTGATTGTAGTATCTTGACTTAATGTAGGTGTTTGAGGAGTCAAGCCTCGACCTACGTCCCTTCTGTTTTTGCTTTTATCAATCCAGAATCCAGGTGGGTTTGTTATTCTAAAAATTCTCTATGCCATACGTGTTTAAGTGTTTTACTTGGTATGATCAAATGCATGTATGTAAACCATGTGGCCTACTGACGTGAGCTGTTACGGCCGTCAGTACGGTCATCCCCGTCGATGTAATACGGTTGTCATTGCAAGGCAAGTCTCCTTAAGACCTAATGAAAGGTTGTGTCCTTGCGTGGCACGCACTCCCGCCTTCGGGTAATGAATCCCCGTTCTGCGGCTAATGATAAATGTGCACATGAGTGAGTCATTGCAGTATTGACTAAGAGATGAGACATATGTTATTATTGTTTATGTTCATGCTGCGACCAACCATCCTAACATATTTGTGTTGTTCATATGCATAGTGGGAGTACAATATTTTCCAATTGTACTCACTCTCACCTGCTCTTCACGGATGCAGCTTAAGCAGTTGGCGGGTGACGAGGCTAGGCGAGTGGGTGGTCTTGCTCATTTATGATTATTATTATGCTTCCGTTTATCTATGACTGTTACTTTGACTTGGATTTTTTCTTTCTTGCTTGTTTGGGACCTTGTATTATGCTCTGATTTCATGGTTTTGGAACTTGTTGAATGCTAGTAAAATTTTAGAACTATTTAGTCATGCATGTACCGATTTTCATCTAATGTGTTTGTATTTTCGATTAATAGTTCTTGGTAGTTAAGTAGCGCCCATTGAATTTTATCTTTAATTTGAGATTTGCGAAAAATTAATTTCAATTCTTATAAATAAATTCGATAAATCCTTTAAAATCAAAGTGGGGCGTCACACATTGTTACCGCACGAGACCAGGATACATAATTGTTGCCGTCAAACACTT